GGTGTTATAACAACTAAAGCCACCAGGTCACACACATGTTCTCTCTTCTTTTTCTCTTGTTTTATTTCTGAATTTGCTATTGGTTATTATTAATAGCATTTGGAAGAGAAAAAAAGAATAGGAAACATTCTGTTTGTTTTTGCAAAGCAGTGTTTCTTTTGCATGAACTGGAGGGAAATTATGGCCCAGTTAAGAGAAAATACTTCCATTTCTCTAGAACCATCTTCACCAATAAACATGAATGTCTATCTAGGGCATGGTTTATACCATTCCTCTTCACTTCTTTGACTGTCCTTGCTGAAGTCTGGATTGTCTGAAGAGTTTTGTGCTCTTGATAGCCATAGCTGTTTTTGAAGGACGAGAAAGGGGAGACTTTTTGGAGGGGAAAAAAGTGAGTTCTTGTATCCAGTTTAACATCCTTGCTAAAGACTATCTCAGAGTACATAGTGATAGCATTGTGACTCTATTTTATCTATCAACCATGGCAACATCCTATGGAATTCTGTGTTGTTGTTGTTTTTAGCTTGTTGGTGCATTAATGCTTTCTAGCTAAGAATTCTAAATACTCTTTGCTAAACTGCAAATCCCAGGACTCCATTGGATGTGGTCACAGCAGTCAGAGCAGAACCATAATATTATAGTTGTATATTATTATTATTATTATTATTATTATTATTATTAAATGTTTATTTATATCCCGCTGTTCTCCCACGAAGGGACCCAAAGCGGCTTCCACCGTTAAAATACAATAAAGTACAAAACAAAATCATTAACAGTCAAAGGCACAAGTACAAAACATAATGAACTGTCAATAGCATTTAAAAACCATATACATTCTTGTGGTGCCTTGTCAGATCTTACTGCAATTCATACTGCCTGGCGAAGATTAACCTTCTCATCACTTCAGCCTAGATTTCATCACTGAAGACTTGTTTAAAAGGGAGGATCTTCAATGATGTTTCTTGAATGGTGTTAGGGAGGGTGCCATTTTAAACTCCCTAGGGAGGGTATTCCAAAGCCTTGGGGTGGCCACCGAAAAGGCCCCCTCTCTCATCGCAGCCAACCGTATTTGGGATAGTGGCAGAAACCAGAGTAGGGCCTCCCCTGATGACCTTAGGGTTCGGGCAGGTTGGTATGAAGAGATGTGGTCTGATAAGTAAGTTGGATCTGAACTGTTTAGGGCTTTAAAGGTTAAAACCAGTAACTTGAACTGAGCTCGGAAACAAGCTAGTAATCAGTGAAAGTGATGTAGCAGGAGGTGGTACACTTCCTGTGTCCAGCACCTATAAGTAATCTGGCTGCAGCTCTTTGGACTAGTTGAAGTTTTCCAAGCACTCTTCAGAGGCAACCACGTGTAGAGCGTGTTACAGTAATCTAGGTAGGATGTAACCAATCTAGGTAGGATGTAACCATGGACCACCATGGCCAGATCTGGCTTCTCGAGGTACAGTCACAGCTGGCACACAAATTTTAATTGTGCAAAGGCACTCATAGACACCGCCAACAGTTGAGCTTCCAGGTTTAGCGCTAAGTCCAGAAAGACCCTCAAGCTGCGGACCTGTGATTTCAAGGGGAGTGTTACCCCATCCAATACAGATTGCCACTCTATACCCTGACCTGCCTTACAACTGACCAGGAGGACCACTGTCTTGTCTGGATTCAGTTTTAATTTGTTTGTCCTCAACCAGTCCATTACTGTAGATAGGTACTGGTTCAGAATCTGGGCTGCTTGACTTTTGGTGGAAATGAGTTGGGTGTCATCTGCATACAGATAGCACCAAACTCAAAAACTCTGGATCATCTCTCCCAGAGGCTTCATGTAGATGCTAAACAACATGGGGGAAAGTACAGAGCCCTGTGGAACCCAACAGGACTATGACCGTGGGGTTGAGCAGGTATCCCCAAATACCACCTTCTGGACCAGTTCCTCCAGGAAAAAAATGGAGCCACTACAAAACAGTGCCCCCAGGTCCCATCCCAGCCAGGCAGTCAGAAAGACACCATGGTCAATTATATCAAAGGCTGCTGAGAGGTCCAAGAGAACCAACAGGGATACACTCCCCCTGTCTAGTTCTCTGCATAGATCATCTTACCAAGGTGACCAAAGCCGTCTCAATCCCTTGGCCGGGCCTAAAACCAGATTAAAATGGATCTAGAAAATCTGTTTCATTAAGAAATCCCTGGAGTTGAAAGAACTTTGCTCAAGAAGGGGGGCAAGGAGAGGGTTGGAAACTGAACGATAATTACTCATTTTGGCTGGGTCCAATGATGAATTCTTTAATAAAAGTCTTACCACAGTCATATTATGACAGGACCCTTAGATGCAACTTTTGTGAACAGGCTATCGTAATGCTGCATCATAATATAATATTTGGTAGTGCTATCCCCATCCATTGTTTTCCTCCTTGCAGTCATATGCACAGGGGATTGAACTAGATGGCCCTTGAGACCCCTTCCAGTTCTAAGCTTCCATTATGCCACATGCATAGTGGGTTACTCTTTGCATTTTGTGGAAGGAAATGTTGAGTTTTGATTGGGCAAACACAATGTGCTTGACTAGTGCAAATTTTTCCAAAGGGACTGATATCTACGTCTGTTTATGCGGCTTTGGAGCAATATTGCCATTAACGCAAACTGGTCCTGACCTCCGGAAGGATTCTAACTATGAGGGGAAAAGGTTTTCCTTCCATAGGGACCAAAACTGGCTGTTCATGTTCCTATTGTTCAGCAAACAATGAAGAGCTCTTAAATGAATGCAGTTGAGGAGAGTGGAAGGGGGAGCACATAAATTGAACATTTGAGCCAACAAAAACCAGGAAATGTGGAGATACGGCTCTTTTAATTCACAGACACAGAGAAAACAAATTCAACAATCAGCTCTTCATTATGATGGTCCTTTTCCACATTAATCTGGTTATTTAGCTCCTTTCTTGTACCATTTCCTCACCTTTAAAACATACACATACATACACAAACACATATGCTTAATAAAATCACTGTTTCACAGAATAATTGAGTTGATCCGACAGATAACCATTAGGTGTTGCACCAATGTATTAGAATTGTGAACCTTCCAGAATTGCATTGCAAGTTAGATCCCCAGGCTGTCTCTGCCAGGTTGCAAGGTGGGGAGGACTTAGGTACCTCCTTTTAAAAATATATCTCCAATTAGTTGTAGCCTAGAAGTTTTTTGTGTGGAGTGCCAAGATTGCTGGCAACAGTGGGGCTAGGCTGCCACCTGCCAGCAGAGTAAGAGAGAGCATTTCAACAGACTGAAGTAAGGTACAGTTACAGTATGACCCTTATATTTGTGCAGGATATGTTCCTGGACCTACCGTAGAAATGTGATACTGTGCCTAATAGCAAGCCCTATTGAAATAAACTGTTCTGGTGAAAGCATACCATATAGTCACACTGGAGGAGCATGAAAATGCTTAGAGATAACACTGTTCTAGCATTTCTAGGTCCTCTGGTGCCTTTCTATAGTCAGCTTCTGGTAGAAGCATATCATAGAACCATGTAGGAGAACAAAGAAAATTTCTAGAGAGAACGCCACTCCATTTCTTGGTTATCCTTGCAATGCTCTGTCAGCTTCTGGAGGAAGCATACCTTAGAATCATGCTGGAGAACCAAGAAAATTGCTGGAGATAAGATATTATTCAGACATGGGAAAGTGAAACTTTAAGTAATCAGTCCTGCAAATTTGGGGGTCATATTGCACTTTACTCTGTTGATCATATGAAAACTGGTATGTCTCTGGGTCTTGAACATACTAATCATGAATATATGTTAGATTATATATATGTTAGATTATATATACAGTAATGAATTACATGCTATCCTATATATAATTAATGATCTGATAGAAGAAAATGAATTTGGCATGGGTGTGAAAGCTCTCTCTCAAAATTATATGAGAAGTTATATTCCAGTTTTACCGCTTAGGTTGCTGAGTGCCTGTGGATAATAATAATAATAATAATAATAATAATAATAATAATAATAATAACTACTTTATTTTTATACCCCACCAACCATCTCCCCTAGGGGACTCAGGGCGGCTTACAAGGGACACGCCCAAAATTACAATTAAAACACACATGTAAAACACTTAAACAATTAAAACATCAGATAAAAACAAATAATAGCACAATTGAAAGCAATATAAAACAATATGGCTGAAAGAAACATAGCTGAAGTATAGATTCAATGAATGCAATACATCTTTACAGAAGCGCAGGAAAGTGCAACAATATTTCATTTCCTCCTGTGGCAAGGCAAACTGGTGAACAATCAGCCGTATGTTGGATGTGTCCTTGTGGCCACTTGTTCCTGCATCTGTGCCTTATATAAGAAAAGTGTGCATTTGCAAGTGTGTTGTTGGAGTTTCTGGGTGGTAGAACATCTTATGTCATGTGCTTCTTCTCACATACTACACTGCACTTCTAAAAATCACAGCTAAGAACAGTTGGTTTCCATGCCTCAATCCTACAGAATCCTGGGATTTGTAGTTTGGTGAACCATTATCAAAGAAAGCAATAGACTTTGTAAAACTGCAACTTCCGTGCTGGCAGTTAAAGTGGTGTCACACTGCATTGATGCTATAGTGTAGACTGACACCCTAACACTGTAGGCAAAAAGCAAGCATGCATGAAACAAAGACATACCAAAACCTTTGATTAAAATCTGTGGAAGAGTAAGATACGGGAGCAGCAATGTTGACCAATAAACAAAAGGGCACCATCAATTGACCAACCAGAATAGTGCAAAATTAATCATGCTAACTTTTAAATCCCACTACGTCATCAAAGGCAAAGATGCTTTTAAAAAACCACAAAAAGGGAAGAAAAGTGGCATTGTTAATGTCATAGGTTTGCTTGAGGTGATGGGGGGGGGGGGCGCTGTGGCAACAAACCAGTGCCATCTAGTGGCAGAAGATCACCAGTCTATATGAAATGACAGCTGTGCTTGGCTAACCCACCTTTCTCTGCTATCTCCAGCTGCCTGTCCCCATTGCCGTGTTCCTGTTGCTCTACAAGGAAAGGCTGGTGCCGTGCTGTCACAAGAACAGCCCCCCATTGCTGCCAGCAGATGAACTGGCCCTGGAAACCCGGGCAGCCGACGGGGATGAGTCTTCCACTTCCTCTCCAAAAATTCAAACAGAATTAGGTGAGCACTCCTACATCAATTGTGGCATGGATGTAGATCTTTGAATAGTTCCTTTTTTAATGGTCATTTCCCATAATCTCCCAGCCAACATGATCAGGCATCTGTAGACATGGGATATATCAGCCCACTTGCTCTCACACATGTAGTGTGCTGTTTCATGAAGAATGAGACAAATTATGGTGTGTTCATGATCTCCTTTGGGAAAACTGTCTATTGAGGTGGGGAAGATGCAGTTAACATGGATCTCGAATTCCAAAATATTCCTTAACTTTCTTCTGAAAGAGTGCTGGTTAATTGTGCTTTCTTTTAAGTGTAGTCCTTTAAGCTATAGCTAATATAATTCTCCATCATTGGCTAAGCTGGCTAGAACTTCTGCATCTGGAAGGCCCCAATTGTCAACTCTCATTCTAATGTTTCTTTCAGGGATGTGCAACATTTCAATATCATTATTGAATCACTCATCGTTTGCTGCTGGTGGGTTGTAGACCAAAATACCTGAAGGGCCCAAGGGTCCCTCTCTCTAATACAGTGGTTCTCAACCTGTGAGTCCCCAGATGTTTTGGCCTTCAACTCCCAGAATTCCTAACAGCTGGTAAACTGGCTGGGATTTCTGGAAGTTGTACATCAAAACACCTGGGGACCCACAGGTTGAGAACCACTGCTCTAATTTACATGGAAAGGAGTAACTCGGTGTTTATTAAACATATACCTCAAAACACAGAAATGCAATGTGGTAATACTTTCAGAATGCTAACCAGATAATTTAGTGCTAAACTAGCATCCTAATCCATTTTGGTAATTCTAGAGTGATTCCCCGAAGCTTCCTCCACATATACAAGGTTAAATGAGCCAATTCAAATAGTGTAATCCTATAATATCATAAGCTGTTTGGGCATATTTTAAGATAGTATTAGCTCTATAAAATATGACTTCTCTGGGCCAGTTTCCTGCGCTAGCATTTATCCAGTTCCTAACACTTTGCAGTTGGTTCCATTCTGGATAACATTTAACACCCAGTCAATGGATAGACAATAGAGGATGCTTTGTCAAAGAAAGATGTGTCCTACCTACATTGGCTTCACCATACACATAGTGTTTCCCTCTAGGCAAAGGTATTTGTTTTCCTAAGTTGCAAGAACTCTTGAGAGTAAAAATCAGGCAATTATCATTGCTCACAAAGTGGTTTGAAGATGAAAAGCAGAGTATGTGCCAAGAAGCTTATTAGTGAAACCGTGTCAGAAGCAGCTACAGTGTGCCTTCTAAAAACATCTTTGCTCATTTATTTTGTAGTTTTGTTTCAGCATGTAGTAATTTACTAATGTACTTACGCATTCCTCTCCTCACCCACCCCCCTTCAAGATCGGTAGGCCCTTTGTATTTATGCCAGTTCCCTGATGCATACAAACAGGTCTTCATATCTGTGTGCATGTCTGTTGTGGTTTCTCTGATTCAGACCCCACAAGCTTTGCCATGTAAGTTGTTTTCCCTTTGGTGCATTTGGTAAAGTAGGAAACCTGAGACATTGATGTAGCTGGCACATTCCCGGTGGTTGAAAGGATATGCAAAACCTCAAGTAACTTGCCTCAAAGTTACACTTTGAGTCTCCATTAAGAGAAGAAATTGGTAAATGATGGTGATGCATCCTTCCTCAATGTGGTACCCTCCAGGTATGCAAGACTATATTACACATAATCTGCAGAGCTATATGGAGAACTATGGGGTGCTAATTCAATATTTCGAGAGGATACTGAGTATCAGAAAGGTAACTGGATCATTTTGCTAGCTGCAACATCCAGCTAAAAAGAACAAAAGAAGTCAGGCATGGAAAAAATAATTTACTAGTTTATAAATATCTAACTATTTGGAAACTATTGAATTCATTAATTCAGCACCTTTGTTGACATAGCACACTAACTTACCACACACACACATACTTTTTTGGTCACATTCCCACAGCATCCAGCCAGGCATGAAGACAGCAGTGCTTCTTAACTGCAAACCCAAATCAGATATTTTTCTAATATGGGAAATCGTTGGAGGCAAAGTTTGTTTTTGTTCCATTGAACTGGAACCCCATTCTCGTGCATATGTGTATGACAAATGTCCTTGTTTTCAAAAGTCTTAACACCTAAGGTGGGTGTGAGAAACACAGAGATGTCTTGGTGTCTCCTTCCACCTGTGGTAGTCTTGGTGGGAAAGGGTCCCAAGTGCTCCAGTGGAAAGCTTTAAAAACCCATAACCCTAATTGAACAGAGGAATGTTGACTGTCTAGGGAACTTCATGTGTGAGAAGGGAGGATTTTGTGGCTTTGCCTCACTCACTGTTGGTTATGGCTGCTAGGAAATTATTCCTGAAGGAATGCAATCCTTTGGGTGAAAAAAAATACCCTGCCTTTAAGGAAGCAAAGCAGTTAGGTACCAAGATGAGGTTCTTAATCAATGTCCCAGAGGCGAAACAGGTTTCTTCATTGTTCTCCCTTCTTTTCACACACCCCCCCCCCCCCAATGTTTAAAATATGTTCCTCCTGACATGTTTCTCAAGATCTTGAACTCAGACAATAAAACAGCTAGGAAGCAATTTTAAAAAGCACTGGTGTAAACTGGTGGACTGAAATCTACAAGCCAGAAGGTCACAATTAAGCCATGTTCACGAAGTCCCAAAACCTTGACAAAAGAGCCAGGTTTTCATTTATGAGGATATCACTGGAGTGTTGTGTGGTTTCCAGGCTGTATGGCTGTGCTCTTCCACCATTCTCATGATGTTTTGCCTGCATCTGTGGCTGGCATCTTCAGGTGATCCGAAGATGTGAGATCTGATGGATATGAGGATATCACAGGCAAAAATCAGGTCTCCAAGAAGACAGAATTTCCAGAAATGGGACCCCACACTATATTCCTTCCCATATATCAAGGATGGGGAATGTTTGGCATGCTAGATATCCCTGGTTATGCTTTCCAGGACTAATGAACATTGCAGTTTTAACAGCATCATACACAGAGAAATGTGGACAATACCCCCTTTGCTGGGTTAAAGTGCACTGAACCATCATGAAAGTGAAAAAAATGTAAATAAAGAATTTGCTAAAAAAAAAAAATATCGGAGAGAACACCTCTCTAAGAATGTATAGATTTTCAAGCACAACTCTATGGTCAGTTTCCACCAGAAAGTGACCATAGAATGGCATTGGTGGACTTAGGGATTTGGCAGAGAGGTGCTCTCTCTACAACTCTCTAGGCCAGTGGTTCTCAACCTGTGGGTCCCCAGGTGTTTTGGCCTACAACTTCCCAGAAAATGCCAGCCAGTTTACCAGATGTTAGGATTTCTGGGAATTGAAGGCTAAAGCATCTGTGGACCCATAAATTGAGAACCACTGCTCTAGTCCTCCAGCGTGACTGAAGGAAGCTGACAATAGAATCTCCTGGACGCCCTAGAAATTCCTAAAGGGTACACTTTAAATCAAATCCATCAGTACTCAAATCTGCAAAAGCCAAAACCACAAATGTGAAGGGATGGCTGTAATACCACATTTCCTTGCCCTCGGAATGGGATGCATTATGACTAAGCTTTCCTCTTTTTTGAGAATCAGATGACACCTGGTGCATAGGCAAACACATTCATATGATCCCAACATTCAATTGTTGCTAAACCAGTGCTGCACATAGAAAGAAATCGTATGGTATTGTTTTCTTCTTCTCAGGCCATAATGATCTCTTTGGATGCTGCCAGAGCAAGAACTTCAGAGGAGCTCCTTATTCTTACTTTGCTGTCCATGTGACCGGAGCTCTTCTTCTCTTCATGACTGATGGAATCATGGTAAGAGGCAAGCAGTGGAGGAGAGCTGTGTTGAACCCACACAGAGAGCCCTTTCACACTACACCATTGTTTCCCATATTGGTCTCCCAGGTGTTTTGGGCTACAGATCCCAGAATCCCTGATCGTTAGCCAAGGCAGCTGATATTTTGGGACTCCAAAACATCTGAAAGACTAGAGTTTGTGAATCACTGCATTACACGGGTTTAATGCTATGCTTCCACCTTAACTGAAAGCCAAGTCCTATAAGGAGCAACTTAGGGAGCTGGGCATGTTTACCAAATCCCAGAATTCCATAGGATTCGAACTATGGCATTTGTGCTATAATTGTGTCATGTAAAGGGAGCCCTGTATTACTATACAGTCTGACCTCTCCAGAGTGGGCAGAACAAAGGCTATCTATTATGGTTATTTTTGATTTACATTGTAGAATTTGGAGAAGTTGTGTTTGTGTGAATTCATGTGCCAGTAACTCACTGGTAGCTAAATTTCATTTGGTGGAAACATTCATTAGCCAAGATCCTACATTACTACAATATGACATAGGTAACAACTCACATACTTCCATTATGTGATCTTACTTTCAAGTCTTTCCAGAGCCATCTAAAGACTTTCTAATCCTTCAGGCCTTTAAAACTCTGTGTTTCTGTTCCTTTTTGTTGTTCTTTGTTGTGGTTTTCCTCTGGAATTTTGTTGCTTTTGCATTCATTACTTCCTTTTATGTGTGGTTTTAGGGATTTAAAGACTTTGTTTTATGTGCTTATGTTATTATTGTGATGATATTTACAATTGGTCTACGTGGAGTTATGTAGCCTAAATCCAACTGTGAATCCTAGGTAGGGTAGACCTATTGAATCAGTGAAACTTACTAAGGTTCCATAAGTCTGTTCTGGTTGCGATTAACAATTGGATTCAGAACTGTGTTTTAGTTGGCTTTAAATTTTGGCATATCATTCAGATAATTATTGTTGTGGAACAATTAGTAATTTGAACGAATAAGTGAATGCTAGTGTATGTTAATAGGAGACACTTAGAAATTCAAGAGATAAGTTCTATGCTGTGCAAACCTAACATGGGTCATTTTTAATTTTTATTTCAGGGGGAGTATTCTGGTTTTGTGTACAGCTATGCTGTGGAGGAACCCCTCTCTATAGGGCACAAGATGGCTGGCTATTTGCCTAGTCTCTTTTGGGGTTTCATCACTTTGGGCAGACTCATCTCCATCCCGGTCTCATACAGGATGAACCCTGCAACCATGGTTTTCATCAATGTGGTAAGGTCAAATCTGAGTCTCCCTTCCTTTCAATGCAGAGTAGATACTTGATCATGGTCAAGAACCTCAGGTCTGTTCCTTCACTTTCAGGCCAGTGAGCAATGCTAATTTAATCAACAACTGACAGCCTCATCCGGAGATATTAGCAGTTCTTTCACAGAGATTTTCACAAATGAGGAAAATGTAAACCATCAAAATGGGTTGCTTTCTTTCAAGAAACTCTGATAACTGTAGAAGCTAGAAATCCTGAACAGAGTAGTATCTGTACCTTTAAACCCAGTGTTTCCAGGGGCCCTTTGGGAATTCTCACATCATACCTTATATTTTAATATTTTATTTTTAGCTCTCTGTTCTCTGACATTATCAGTCCTTTAACAATCTTTTTCCAGGAAGAAATTGCTGTTGTAAAGAGATTTTTCAAAAATCTATCCTGCTCTCATTCTACATGGAAGGAGAGCACTTAGCGATGTAAATGAAATGAAATTGTGACTATAATGGGTTGGTTCCAGACTGGCCATTCTATGAATTTAAAAGCTCATTTATCTTGTATTTCACACTGATATCTCCCCTCTGCTTTATTGTCCTTCCAGGTTGGGGTGCTTATAACATTCTTCCTACTACTGATCTTTTCCTACAGTGTGGTCTTTTTGTTTGTGGGGACTGCTTCTCTTGGCCTGTTTCTCAGCAGCACTTTCCCCAGTGTGCTGGCTTACACTGAAGACATCCTTCAGTACAAAGGTAATTCAAGTCTCACATTTCCTTCTGCCTTAGAGCTTTGCACTGTGAAGTATCTACCAGAAAATAAATTAAAGAAGAGTGTCCATATTGAGCTGCAATATGAATATTCTGGGTTTTCAATATCACAGTGGCCCTCCAGATGTGGACTCATACTCCCATAAAGCTTATTCATCTCAGCCTGTGTTCAGGGATGATGTCATTTGCAAGTGAATAGTGGTATTTTTACCATGGATTTCAATCCTTATCACTTGAATAGACTGTTTTGCTCCATAGTTGTTGTGTTTCCTGGTATGATGGAAGCCATATCCAGAGCTTTCATCTAAGACTAACATGTCCCAGAATCCATGAGAATAACACTTTCAGGTTTTGCATACATATGCTCTAAAATATGGAATATAAACATCCTGCCATACTATTCCAGTCTTCATCTCACCTGCTTGTCTACTTGAAACACAAACAAAGTGTAACTGTGTGTGTGTTTCTCATTTCAGGCTGTGCTACTACTGTGTTGGTGACAGGAGCAGGAGTTGGAGAGATGGTTCTGCAGTTACTGGTTGGGTCGGTAAGTGTGCAAGATACAGTATGAGCAACCTGGTGGGTATAAGTTAAGGGTTGAATCCTTCCAAATGATGTTGGGCTGCCACCATTGGCAAACTTTGACCCAATTTGGCATCCCAGCCCAGAGTTTAAGAAGCTCTGCTCTTCACATCTGACAAACCCCAGAAGGTCACAGAGATGCTTCATCACTCCATATGCAGCTACAGAAAGATACCTGGATGTTTCTCCACATCCCTGCACACCTCACTGGCCAGTAAATGTCGGGTTGACTGCAGCAAGTAAAGATGGGTTTGGAGAGGGAGTAAGGTTGTTGCTCAAGGCCAGTAGACAATTCTGACTACTGCAGTGACAAAAGAAAAAGAAGACACAGGCATAAGTCACTTACTGAAGTTATATTGATTGAAGCCACAGTGAATGACTGCCATCTTGTTAGTGACATACACATGCACAAGTCTGCAATGTAAATTGTTCATCCCTTTTTAGCCTTACACCAAGTCACACCAGTGGCCCTCTACCTCAGTACTGGCTATTGAATTGGCAGTAGTTCTTCAGGTGCTTCTTGCCTGGAGATGCCAGAAGTTTGAACTTACCTGCAAAGCCAGTGATCTACTGCTGAGCTTCAGCCCATCCCAACATATTATGTAGCAGATCATCATTGAATAGATAGCAGGGTTGGAGAGCATATGGCCATCCATAGGTTGTAAGATCAATTATCCCCACCATTCCTGGCCATTAGTGATGTTAACTGGAGTTGGTCAGAGCTGTAGTTCAGGTTTTAAAAGGTCACAAATTCTCCAGCTCAGTATCAGTTTTTTTAACAATGATCTTTATTGAAAGTTTTCATTAAAACACAGTACCACTTTTATGGGACTAGAAAGACATTCTTATTATGTTATTTACTTTCACAAGCACTATTCATATTTTCCAGTCTGTCTGTGGCCATTGGTCATGTTGGTCAGGGTAGATGGAAGTTGTAGTCCAACAAGTTGAAAATGACAGAGACCAGCTCATAAAAGAAACAGTTTCATACATGCTTAATATCAGAAACTGAACAGTAGACTTCTTCGCCTGGAAGTCTCTCCCTGGCTGGTGGAAAACCCAAGGAAACAGATGGCATTTACCCCCTTTCCCTTGGAGGTCAGACAATCTGCCCCAAAGAACCTGATCAAGGGAAACAGATTCTCCATATCCCCAACAGCATTTGCTGAAGGGGTTGAACATTATTATTTCTCTGGCTTCAAAGCATATCATACTAGTGCTGCTGTTGTGAGTTTCTGGAGCTGCAGAACATCAGCTTTATGTTTTTCTTTGTTGATAGATCATTCACGATCAGGGCAGTTACAGTTTCCTGGTCTGTGGAACTATCTTTGGAGCCTTGGCCTTTACTTTCTACATCTTCCTTCTATTCTTCCACAGGATGCACCCACAGCCCCAGTCAGGTAAGAAGTGCCAGCTCATTGACACCCCCTTACACTTTTAAAAAGAAAGGAAGGGGAGGTCTACATGTTATGGTAGAGTGGGCTGGAGAGTTCCAAGGAGGAGAAAATGCAAGGAAATGTGTATTTTACAGCTGCTTCCTGTCATTTCTTCCTGCTTGGATGGGCCCACAGTGTTCCAACACCAAACACCCATTTACTTTCTTTACTCTTGGAAGTAGGGTTCAGGGAAAATGAAGCATATTGCATAGACAGGAAGTGTGTGGGGGATATCATAAAATGTGTTGAAAGTCTGAAGAAGCAAAATAAATGAGCAAACAGTAGTTGGCTTTCTTTGCTGAGCTCAGGAATACAGAATCATTTATGAGGATACCTCCTATTGCTATTCTAGCTGAATGATGGAGCCATCCCAAGACATTTTGCTGCCTGAATTGAAGCAGCATATGCCCCACCCAATTTCCCCTAGTTTAAGATATTACCTAGCCAAGCCAGCCCTGGTATTTTGGAGCATAAGTGCTTCTGGTTCCCCTTGAAAGTAAAATAGTGAACAACTGCATGCTCAAAACATCCCGGGTCTGTTGCCTTGGACTCAAATTTTATTGACAAGCATAACTGTGGCAATCTACTCAGTAGAGACAGGGTCACAACAGAGGTATGGTGGTTGCAGGTGTTGTGTTGATAACCAAAAGCTCCACCTCCTGAGCACCTTGGCAAAATGGCTTTAGCTGGAATCCTATTAGTGGCATTCATAAACATAGTTATGGCTTATGTGCTCATGTGCCTATTTTTGGATGGGGTGTGAGAGCTAATGTTTAGCCCTTTTGCGGTTAAACAACTTCCCCACCCCAGCAGATTTTAAGCCCTTGGAGAAAGTGTTACTGTTCCTGATAGTTACCAATGGGGAGAGGATGAAGCAATGGCAGCTCAAATAACGAAGATGCAGCTGGTTTAGTCTTCAGAAAGGATAATATAGGTGTATTGTATTCATATATGCACTTGTCTTGGCCTTCCTCTTTTCCCAGAGGTCAAACCATCTTTATCTTCAGGATAATCTCCTGAATCTTTCCATTCCCTTGCCATCAATAAGGAGAAGCAATTCCTCCCAGGTCCAGGAGCAAACACAGAAATGTAGAGCATTATGCTGTGCTTGGTTATTTTAGGATCTTGGGCCCTTTCTCATTATGGTCACAGTTTTTGTAAGCATCCTTGCTATGCCCAACTCAAAACAGTGAGTCATGTAAGTGTAACAACTCTTTATGCCACCATAAGTCACCAACAGGATCCCAGCCATAGGAGGCTTCTTTGTTAATGCTAATAAAGCCAGTTCTGAGAAATTACAAATATTCAGTGGGTATAAGATAAATAAATGAACAAAGCCATTACATCTCCTACTCTGCTACAAATATATTTCAAAGTGAAAATACATGATTTTTTTCTTTTGGGGGAATATTCACCTTGGAATAGTTGTCATAGATTGCTAGGAAGAAGCAAAATATCAGTATAAATCCCACTTACAATTCAAATGTAAACCAATGTTATACAATTCTGTATTGCAAGCATGAATTTCCCATGATGAATCAATGGAAGAGAAATGTTTATGTCAAAGATGTAGGTAATACCAGGATCTGGCCATGGTTACTGTCCTGTATGAAGCAGCTCTTGATGAATGGAAGGAGTGGAAAACATTTTACCATGTTCTTCATTTAACAGTCTGTGAATAGGCTTTATTGTTTGTTTTTAAATGGCAGTTGACATTTTGTTTTGCAGATATAGATCTGTCACCTGACAAGTCACCACCAATAGCTGAACCCGGACTTTATCAGAGCTAAATGAAGCCTTGAGTTTGTATTTGGATCAAGCACAATGTCACTCTCCAATTGAAAGAATTGCTCTCACCGCCTGTTTTCAAACTACCTGAATTTTCTACAATCAAACTTGTTGGATATGACTTGTTCCCATCAACCAGTCATCCATTACCAGAGAAGGTTCACTGCAGCAGGAACTAAGAGAAAAACTGCAACATTCTAGAAGGGCTGAAAATTTTGATACGTGAAAGCATAAACTCCTCTGGTGCACTCCTGAATGTCCGTCCAGGAGCGCAGGTGGTGGGGAAAATGTATTGATGTCATTTTACAGGCCTCAAGTGAGAGGTCTCCTAGGTTTTTATATTCACTGTAAACAGGAGGCAGCTACAGGTAGTGGGCATCATTTCCTCATTTGGTAAACAGCAAACTATTTGCTACTGGGTAATTTTTAAACGCCCTCTAATCCCAGGTCTTTGATACAGCCAACAAGATTAAGAAAAAAATGCAGTGAATCACCCAATCAAATTGAAATACTGAAATCTTACGGTTTGCTGCGGCCACACAGTGGGAAGTATGATAGCTTGAGCTGTGTTGACATTTCAGAATTAGCACCTTAGAATGAATAAGATCTGTGGGCTGCCCTATTAGGCAGAACAGACTAACTCCTGAAGTACATGAAGCCAAATGTCAAGGCCTTTCCATTTGTGCAATATAATAGGTGCCTTCTAGGAGCAGCACTTTTGAGAGGTACTGAATGTCCAGATCGTGGTGGTCATTTTTATGACTGCTATAAATGAAGGTATTGGGATAGTCTAAGATAGAGCTTTAGCAGAATTAAGTTGGTTTTGTTACAAATGCTGTCCCACAGATATACATGTGTATGTATATAAAGGAATGTTTTAATATTGTTCTCGTCGCATGAACTCGTGGAGTGACTTTTAAGATGGGACCTAGCAACTTCACTCAAGCAGAGCTATTTTTTCCCCAAGAGGCTTGTTGCACTACTCATTTCAAAATTGTACATTTATACTAAATTTGTGTTGCCATTTGGCTTTACAGATTGCAATGTTGCATGGGTATGCACACTCATTTTTGATTTTCATGTCGTCCAATTAATATACATCTTCCTTGATTACAGAGCTTGTGTGTTCTTGGGGCCTTAAGTTACATGGACACTAAGGGACCGTTTGTGCCTGCTAGTTGGTGGAAGTTTCAGATTAGGATACAGAACCAGGTGGACATTAATCGGATCAGCAAAACATAGTCTTATGTGGTCATGAGTAAAGCAACTTCAGTAAAAGAGATGATAGCTGTTAAGAATTATAAGGAATGTGTAGAAACTGTACTCTGTCCTCCAAAGAGAAAAAAAAAAGAATCTCCTGCCATTTTGGGTAAAACAATAAAAACATATTTCTTCATAAATTAAGATTTCAAACTTTTAGCTATATCATATCTGCAGGGAGATAGACAGGCATAAGACCAACTTTACACAAACTTGTTCCTGTAACAGTATTTTAAGGAGTTTAACATGTGACTATGTAAAACAACAATTAGAAGTATGTATTTTGAAGTCAAAATTGAGTGGAATTTCAAGATTATTCTAATGTAAATCATGTATATTTTATTAGAACAAAGACATTGAATGTGTGTGGCATAAAACCATCTCCTGCCAAGTAATGGGCAGGCATTTCACAGAAGAAGAAAAAACAACTGACTTTTTGTCCTCTACCCATTCTGTCCATTTTTCTTTTCGTGTTAGGAGCAACTTGAGAAACTGCAAGTCACCAAAGGACAGCTGAGAAAACTTAAATTTGGCACCCAAGCACTTACACTGGCATGGCATGCTGCATTGGATGCCTATCAAGCACACTTCTCAGAATAAAATTGTTGTGATGGTTGCAGTATTTTAGTTTTAAAGAATTTGTGGGGAAAGAAAATTGGTACAAACCTAAAAACAGAAGGAGCGGAAAAGAAGAGGGGATCTAGGCGTAAATCCAGCTGATAGCCTCAAGTAGAAAATCTATGGAAAATTGCCATAACAGGTTGCTCTTAATTCACCATATCTAACCTAGTTGGCACTGTAATACAATGGTCTGGTTGCGGATGACACAATAAATAACCTAATGCCACTGATTGGCTATGGGCCCTAGATCAGGAGCCATCCACCTTTTTAGGCGCGGGGGGGGGGGGGCAGTTCATAGTCCTTCAGACTGTTGGGGCCTGGACTATAGTTTGAAAAAAAAACCCCACAAATTCCTTTGCACACTGCACATATTTCTGTAGTGCAAAAAAATGAAAGAACAATACAATATTTAAAATGAAATACAATTTTAACTAATATAAACGTACCAGTAATTTAATGGGAACTGTAGTCCTCTTTTTGGCTGATGGGATAGCCAAGTTAATTAGGATTGTTATTGTTATGTGCCTTCAAGTCGTTTCAGAATTAGGGTGGAACCCCCGATGGCACAGTGGGATAAACCCTTGCACTGGCAGGACTGTTGACCAACAGGTCAGCGGTTCGAATCTGGGTGAGAGCGGGTTGAGCTCCCTCTGTCAGTTCCAGCTCCCCATGCAGAGACATGAGAGAAGCCTCCCACAAGAATGGTGAAACATCAAACATCCAGGCATCCCCTTGCACACAGCCAATTCTCTCACACCAGAAGTGACTTGCAGTTTCTCAAGTTGCTCCTGACGCAGAAAAAAAAAGAGTTAGGGCGACCCTAAGCCTAAAGTTTAGACCAGGGGCTGGGTTAATGATTTTAGAGGGCCACATCTGGCCCATGAGCTTTAGTTTTGGGACCCCTGCCCTAGATTCAGTCCTTTTATCCACATATGATGTTCAGCACCATGCATGTTAGTTCAGTCTGGCAAGTGCAGGTTCAAGTGTTGGGTTAAGTGATCAAGCAACTCTCTCCTGAGTGCCCAGTATCCTTGGGAACATAGAACTCCCGGTCTAAAAGGAGATACCATCTGTGGTAGATTGCCAGGCCCATGCGATTTCATCTTCAGTGATTTCATTGAGACTTGAAAGTATTGCATCCAACTCATTGGGGGCGGGGCAGTTGCACGGATCCTATTTCTGGAAACAAAATGTGTTGGGCTGACATGTTACTTCCTCCACTCAGATTTCAACAGTCAGACATATTTTGGACAGTGTAAAAGAAACAAACCAATAAAAGTTAAATAAGAAAAGGTTAGAAACAGAGTTCCTAAGACAGGATTTCTGAACAGTATTCTGATACTTGTAGCCGTTAATGGATACATCTGTGTCTTCTGGACGAATGAGAATTCTTCACACAAAAATACGCACTATTGCATTCAAAATAAAAAGGTACTTATACACACATAAACAAATATTAAAAAACAGCCTGTCAATCACAGACGGTGTGGGTTTAAACAATCCTTCAGAGTTACACAACCATGGTGTATATAAACTATATTGCAATAGCGATTTCTTACCACTACAAAAGAGAACGGCATTCAGGATTACAAATTTTGTTTAAAAATATTTATTTAAAAAAATACAACTGTTTTCCAAGTCTGATTGCACATACATATTAACATGATTTGCTACATTTAAAGCCAGCTTACATTATTATACAAAGCAATTTTTGTCAGATCTTAAAATATTTAACGTTCCCTCAAAATTGTTTTTTTTAAAAAACTGCCACAATTTTTTTCTTTTTGCACAGAAGTCTAAACAATAGAAAAAACACCTGATTCTTCACAAAAGACCTTCATTATGTTTTGATAGGCAACAAATAATACACCAACCATTAAATGCAAACCAATCCACGAAACAGTATGACCCACCGTGCAGTCCCTGACTGAACACCTTATATTGTAGAATTCATGGTTACATTTAAAGCATGTTCCTTTTTAAAAAGATTTCCCAACATTTTCTTCCCTTTCTAACCAACATCATGAAGGTCCTCCTAATATCTCATTCAGAGGTGCTTTTGGTCAAAGCAGTAACACTGAAACGTCACTTAGAACTTTGGCTATTTATGCAACTGTATTACACACCAGCATCATTTTAACAATGGCATCAATATACTGGATATATAAAAAGATAAAACATTTTCAATGGTTAAAAAATGGAACAAGACTTGAAGAAACTAGTTTCTCACAACTAACTCCACACAAATATTGTAACAATAGGCTAAATATTAGGAAGATATTAAGAAATCAGACAGCATAGCCTTGGATGGATGTCCTGCAACATCTATGAAACATGTAATATCCAGCAATCTGTTTCAGTGAATCTGAGAGACATGTCTTCATGTTGAGATTTTGGCTACTGGGATCATTCAGCAATTGGGAAAGATGGTTCTCAGGTGCACTGAAACAGACTCCCAGATATTTCAGGATGCACAGATGTTGCAGGACATCCATGCAAAGCCAAGAACCATTCCACTTTCTGCAGTGGGTCACAAATGTTTGCACAAGGGCAGGTAGGTGATAACATAAATTTAGATGTGGTTTTTCCTCTCCAAGAAATAGTGCAAAAGCTTGATAAAGGGAGGAAGGCATTCCAAGAGTAGGGCCTTTCCTTTGTTCTAGCTTAGAAGGTGATACCATCTGCAGTACAAAAAACACTGTGATCCAAGCATAACTTTCTTCACTTCCTCCTTCCTGTGCTATTTAGCCTGGAGGAGGATCACGTCTTCAGTTAGAAGTGAATAATTAAGGCTGTTCTACTTTTTTCTGGCTAAAGAAGAGATTCCTCTAGGAGCACTAACCAAATTGTTAGGGAAAGAAGAAATCAACTATGTTAGCTTACTAGTAAAAGAGCAATGGCAGGGACACCATCTACATCAGGGTGGGCTGACTGTGGTGGCTGGACAGAGTTGTTTCTTAAAAAGAAATACCCTCCTCCATTTATTTCAATCAACTTCAAAAAAATTCAAAGCATACACATATATCCTTGTCAAATAAAAGCCTCCATGCACACACCCACTTGTCAAATAGACTCCACACCCAGGAAAAGGCCTTTATGTAATAAAGATGTAAACCAGATGTCAATTCCTGTTGACTTTACTTATTGAACAAAGGGTCTAAAACAGATCTACATATTCCCTGAAGATGTTGAGTGATTGGGGAAAAATTGAAAAACTTGTTCACAAAACAATGAAGTGGTGGGCAATGTGACCCAGCAGGTGGCCAATGTGGCCCGCAAACTTGTGCAGATAGTTGCCCACCCTTTATCTGTATACACCTACTTGAAATCATGCAGGTCCTGCAACCACATCTCTTCTCCTCAAGGTGCCTCTAAATCATATATATGCTAATTGGCTCGCTTTCCCACTACCCTCTCACTCTTCTCAACCTCTCGATTTCCCTTGCATATTCTTCCATGATGCAGAAAAGTATTAACTGAGAAAATAAACAGAAAACAAAAAGTTTGCTACTGTACTTATCACAAGCACTGTGATGTACATAAGGCCATCTGGTAACACTGCAATAACATACAAATGAAATTTTTACAAATTATGTAGGACAATATTTTTCCGTTTACAAAGTATTCATGAAAAGACATCCTTGAACACTTACGAGCATTTAGAAGTGGGTGCAACTGCACAGCAAGAATGAAAGTCAGTGATGTTACTGAGAGTTTCAAAACTTATTACCAAAGAAATCGCACAGCTCCAAAGGCCTCCTAGAAACCCCAAATATTCACCTCACCATGCTTTGCTCTACTATTATGTCAGCCACAAGAAACGCCATGTTATAAAGATCATCCAGATGTGAAGACAAACTGAAAATAGAAATTTCCAATTAATCTAGTCTTCTTTTTAAATAAAATTCATAGCTACAATATGTTCAGTGTCCGAGATGTTTTCAAAAGGGGATAAGATCAATTTGCAGAGAAGAGGTTGCTTTTGAGTGAATCACTGTATATAAAAGATTTCAAAATAAATGTTTTATCAAATTCAAATTTGACAACAATTCAGTTAAAGACCAGTTCACTCATTCATATTAAGTGCTACTACCAAGGATCACAGAAAAGAAAACTGAAGAGATGTTTTTCATTTCAAGATTGAATATTAGTCAAGTAAACCATCGCTTGGGGGTGGAGAACATTTCAACTTCTGGGCCAAAGGTTCCCCAACTTGGCTTAATTTCAGTCATTTGGATTATTAAATGATATGAACCACTGAATGGAGAATGTTACACATGAACCCATTCCCAGATGAGTTTAAGACACTTTGGGAGAAAATCACACCATATCCTATAGTTTAAAATTTATATTACAACAGATAGACAAAGGATAGCATAACAAATAGAACTAGAAATCCTGAAAGTGCAAGATACTTTAAAAGCTGCAGTTACAAAGTGCAGTACATTTCATGTATATATAATAAATACACAATCTAGATGCCCATATGGGTCCTTTATATTATAGTATATTGACTCTTAACGCCAATTTTCCCCGAAACATTTGGATTAGCCTCCTCCATTTGATTAGTAATATTCTATACCTGGGGGAAAGCGGGATGAGTGTTGGGGAGAAATGGAGAATCATGGAATTTGTTCTTTCATTATAAAGAGTGTTTACATCCAAATTTTGGAAATAGCAGCAAAACCCTCACTGCTGGTGTAACAGATTTCAAAAACTAGTCCAAAGTGGCATTCAAAGAAAAGAAAGATCAAGATATCCACTGGAATCACATAAAGGCTCTTGCTTGACAGTTCTCTGGATGAGTCAAATTATGTCTACATAATTTTATGACAGAGGGACCATTCACATTTTAGTCAGATTTTTCTATAGTTTGAAAAGAGTTGAATAGCCATGACAATAGCAAAATTGTTATGCTTTTGTGATCAGTACTTCTTTTGACGCAAACAGTCTTAGCCGGGCAACCTGAAATGTGCAATCATTGAGACAGGTACTCTCAGCATGGGATTGTTTGGATAATGAGGAAAATATACTGTATAGTTGGCACACTTATCTTTCTCCAAATTCAGTAACTCATCCTCATTTGTACTTAATTTCTCATAGAAGATGGGACTAGCAACTTTTATGATGCTCTATTGAGTGATTGTGCTCACTAGCTAGATTTCCTATTTTGAAAGTAAAAGGACAACTAAAGCCAATATTGCTTGTTTCACCCAACCAAGTACTAAACCAGACAGAAAACAAGGAAGACTGTTCAGTGGACAGTTGGCAATGCAATGATCGGTATCACATTGTGCTCACTAACTTGAATAATGAAAAAGTCACCAAGAAAATAGAACAAAAGCACTCATGATGAAACTGACAGGCAAAAAATGACTTTGGAAATGAGCATTCCTGAAATAACAAGCCACTGGGTCAAAAGAAAGAAAAATACAATTATACACCAAGCTATCATAAGGCCATGCTTACTGCCATTTGAAAAGGGATAGATAAAAGAAAACCTATATTATGAAGATTTAATCTTTGAAAGATGCCCTTTGAATGGACCAGCATCCTATCCTTTCACTTTTCCAAGACTGTGGTGTTACACAAACTTATATTGAAACAAGTCACATTGGAATCAATAGCATGTCTGAGTAAACATACAGTGTATGTATGTTTTGTGTATAACAAGAACTCCATTCTTTATCCCACCACACTCTTTTCCCAGAATAAGATGTACTCAAACACAAGAACTGAGCAAATATGTCAAGTGTGTTTACATAACTGATCATAAATAAAGAATTTCTGTGTGCTAACGGGAAGATTTGCCCAGCTTTTAGTTAAAAGAAGAACACATCAATGCAACAAAACAGATACTGAATTAGGTCAGATGCTGTATTCTCATTTGTTCCCTCCTTCCCTTGCTGATTACACTGTGGTTTAATTATACTAGCATTTGTCATTATACAAAAATGGGAAATTCAGATTAATACTACATTCCAATGATCTCCTGAAGACCATTTGTCATTTCTCATTGAGGGAAATGACGAAAGAAAGGGGGAAATCCTTACTACAAAATTGACAAATTTGAAATATAAATTTTAGTTGATTGAGCATCCCTTCGTATTTTCCTTTTTAATGACAAAATGTCTGTTATATATTGTTCTGTAAAATGCAATAACAATGTGAAGTGGATAGATGAATGATATAGGATGTCCTAAAGATTGTAAATTCTGAATGACGAAATAAACCCATTACACACTTGGATGGCACCACTACTGCCAACTTGTTAGACTACGAGCATTGTTCCTTTCTCTATCAGAAAAACTAGGAATAGAACTAAAATATCATTAATTACTAAAGAAAACTCAGTGACACTTCAGAGTGACTCTGTTGTCAGCAAAATACAAATAAAAAGAAAGCATCAGACATTCATTACATCAATCATAATCGAAAATATGGGCAATTACAGATATTTAAAACAGCTATGTTGCGGAAAGGAAAACTGACATGAAAGCAGTAAGTTCTTTCCTTACTTGTATCCAGTTGAATCACAATCTGAAAATATATTTTGGGAACGGATATTTCCTTACTGGGGGAGTGAGGTCCTGGCAGGAATCATTTATTTATTTGTTTATTTATTTATGGCATTTACATGTCGCCCTTCTCACCCCAAAGGGGACTCAGAGCTAATTTACTCAAGTGGATTGCAGGCCAGAAAACTTGGAAGGTTGTTTAGGTGAAGGCCCAATGGCATAAAATCACAATGCCAATGAAAAACGAGGAGAAAGAGTCAATAGGCAAAGAAGAACAAGCTGCCTTTTAAAAACTGGGCAATAACTTCTGCCTTTATAATCAGATTTTTTTTTTCAGAATTCTTTACTTTCACATGTGCATTTGAACAAAGACGGAAATTTTCAGAACCAGATGCATTGGTCCAAATTTTGGTTCCTGACAATGTTCAGCCCTGAATGGAAATAATCCATCAAGAGATCAATGACTATCTGTTATAAACTCTCAAATGACTGATATTTTTATAAGGCAGAGACAAAGATTGAAAACCACATTGATATATATATATACAGCCTCCATATAATGAAACCACAGAGTTTCAGCAAATTTAAACTTCAGCCTTGGATGGTCAACCAGCTTCCACAGTGGAACTGTAAAACTGATGGATCTGGTTTATGAAAGTAGAATAAAAAAAAACCTGTTACTAAGATAATCTGGATTCACTTGTATGTCTAATTATATATACTGCACAGGTGCATCGCATATAACACAACCAATTACAGTTCTTTTCAGAAAGATTTTCTTCCTGCTAATGGAAAACAGCAAGCTAACAGTTTAAGAGCCATTCTTTTAGTGCTCAAAAAGAATTTAAAGCAAGAACCACACTTGAACACTCTTCTACTTAATACACACACCAACAACAACCAGCTTTGTTTAAAAAAACTGCCCTTAAAAAGTGCTATTACTTGCCCAATAGAAACAGCATAAAAATCACTGTGCAAACACAAGAATGGAGGATGCACAACCTCGTCTACTATTTTCAACTGTTTTTCTGTACATTTTTATTGAAAAGAACCTATAAAATATTGCACATTCAATTTTGGTACAAAAGAACCTTTCAAATTCCATTTTTAAGAAAGGGCAACTGTGACAAGTGCCCAGTGGCCAATTTCCCCTCTGCTCTGAAGAGACCATGTCATGGGTTGAATGTCCCAAAACAGAAGTTTCCAGGAATCCAACTTTTAAAAAATGAATTTTAAAAATGCAGAAAAAGTCATCTCACATCCAAGCACAGCCCTGACTTCATAAGGGAATTACTATTTGCAAAGGCTTTGAGGAGCATTCATTCCCTTTTACTTATGGTTTTGAATGGGGGAATTTGGGGAGAGTTGCACAAACACATTGAGGGCTTCAAACAGTCCTTGAATTAGCTACTCATTCTCTTATTTGGTCTTGAAAAGAACTCACAGTAACCTGCTAGAATTCATAGACAGCACACACAAGTCAGAACCCTATGTTACTTTCCAAGGTGAAGGGAAGTCTGGCAAAATAGTAGTTCGGAGCAGGCTGCTTTTCTGATGTTTATTTCTCTATATCTGCGCCTTTCCCCTCCTACTGGAACCTTCTACACTGGCAAGTGCCTCAATAAAGTCCAATCTATGTCTACTGTCTTTTGGGGGGCTGATGAATTAGATACAAGTTGAGTATCTCTTATCCAAAATGCTTGGGACCAGAAGTGCTTTGGATTTCAGTATGGAATATGAAACTGAGGAGTATGCTTTGGAATATGCTTACATATTACATGTACATACTGAGATCTTGTAGATGGAAATCAAGTCTATAAATGAAATTCATTATATGTGATCCTACACATTGCCTGATTGTAACTTCATAAAACATTTTAAACAATTTGGCACATTAAACAAAGGTTGTGTACAATGAATTGTCACAAAGCAAACGTGTCACCATCTCAGACACTACATGGATGGTTCTGGAGAATTTCTAATTCCAAATAATGGATGCTCAAAGCTGTACTCTTTTCTTCTCATCAGACTTTTTATTATGACTGTGTTTGGGAGGGCAACCAAATATATAGTGGTTCCTTCATGTTCACTAAGGGTTTGTACCGGAACTTCCTTGTGGATATCAAAATCTGTGGATGTGGATCAAATCTCATCATATTAAAATGGCATCCCATATATAAAATTACAAACAACTCAAATGAATGCCTGAGAAGAGTCCCTGAGGATCTGAAGAGGGCTTAACAACAGCATTCAGAGCTGCTGTGTTACGTAACTCCTATTATCAGGAAAACCGCCTTATCAGAGTCCCCAATCAAGAGAACTCTGTAATTATTTTCAATCTAATGTGGTTACAAAACCCTCTTCAGTCCTCTGTATGGCCTCTGATACTGCTGGATGCCTGGGGACATTCAAGATAGTTTATGTCTATTTCCCTTTTAGAGGAAAATGCCCAAATAGAGTTTGAAATTAATCTAGATCTGAAGAAATCCCTTTAGGACAAAACTCAAGTAGTCCATTATTCAGGGATTCACAAAGGCCCAATCTTGGATGACTCCATGCACACAAAACAGAACTACCACCTTCCCTCCAATCCAATAATTTTAGCTTTGCACCAGAGATATTGGTGCAAATGGTTACCACATTTTCATCATCTTTGCACCCAAAGAATCCACTAATAGTCACCATTGTGACTATGATGAGAATTCAGATGTAGTTCTGACAGAAGACAACCAAGACTTCCCAATGCCATAGCTTCCACTCCCAAGCTACATGACCTGATCACTGAAATATTATCAGGCACCATTTCTGGTACTTAATTTCTAATAAATAGTTCCTAGAACTACACAATTTAAGGTGCTTTCAGAAATTATACTTATGAGCTTGGCACCTGCCAACCCAGAGTCTGCATGTTAACATTTATGCAGAAATACTCTTAACTCTTTGTGCATCTCTTTATACCGAAACTACCACTAGTATAAACATCTGTTCTGGGTATTGCATCTGAAAAAAGTGGGTTAATATCCATGAAATCTCATGTAAAAATAGTCTTAAAAGTGCTACTATATTTCATCTTTTATTTCTCCCTTTTCTTTCCTTCTTTTTATGCTGCAAGAGACTTACAGGGCTACAACTATGAAAATTATTCTGAGTGAAAACAGTTCATGTTTTCCAATATGGATCATAAAAGCAAGACTTCGGTACCTGCAAGTCAACAGAATGTTGTCTCCAGATAACAAGGAATGCTGACATATCACCCCATTCTGAAGATATTTCTTTGGGGATGGAAGGCTGAACTATTCTCTCACCAGAAAGTTAAAGACTACCATTAACTCCCTTCAGATTATAACCAAGTTATACCACTCTCACCATACCATTGTAATCAACAGAAAAGTTTCCAGTAATGATATAATGTTTTTGGCTGTAGGAGCATCTATGCATCCAAAATGTTTAGTTCAGCTATTACTCAGACTTAAACACAAAATATATCACACAAAGGTGGGGCCAAGCGAAGTGATTCCTTTTTTTTAGATGCCTTATTTTCTTGTCAAGCAGTTTGATAACACAACATTTACAACTATATAGTTAATCTGATGACATAACACACCTACAGCACAGCTGTGCCAGCAGGACTGAAGATCGACAGGTTGCAGGTTTGAATCCGGAGAGAGACGGATGAGCTCCCTCTATCAGCTCCAGCTCCTCATGCGGGGACATGAGAAGCCTCCCACAAGGATGATAAAAACATCAATTCATCTGGGAGTCCCCTGGGCAACATCCTTGCAGACGGCCAATTCTCTCACACCAGAAGCGACTTGCAGTTCCTCAAGTTGCTCCTGACACACACACACACACACACAAAAGCACAGCTCCCTAGTCTGTTTATTTGCTAATTTACCATGTTCTTTTCTCTTTTCTTTGCTACCAAGTAATACCTCACTTGAAGAATTCAAATAATTTTTGAAGACCAAGCCTTTTCCATCCATGATCTATGCACCTTTGAATCATTCAACAGTATGCAGCTGAAGTGCAAGGGTACAGGAATTATCCAGACCTCCAGATGTTGAACTACAACTCCCAAGAGCCCTAAATCTGCTTAGCCAAAGAAAGAATGCTGTGAGCTGCCAACATGGAAGCCTGCAAGGGTCCCATCCCTCTGCTAGGAGATAAACTGATGTTTTTTAGGATATGTATATAGATTTTTTTATCTACATTCATCACCCCTAGTAGTTTGTTTAAATCTCTTGTATACCATCAACATACACTTGTAGAGTTTCTCCTTTCAAAGCCATACATTACATTCCTGTATCAGCAGTACAGAAATTAATAATACTAAAAACAATCTTAAAGGCTTTCCAGCTGTTTTTTTGGAATCCAACTTCCAATAAAATAATATAGTGAAACAGAAAAAGAGCATAAGATTATCCAACAAAAGGGTGGCTGTCTGTGGCTGTGATATCAGTTACTACAAATTAAATCAATGTATCCATACAAAATTAGGTTCCCTTTACCAAGAAAAAAACTTCCTAAACCAAAAAGAAGCAAGCGAGAGAACAGATAACAGAGCAGAGTCACCAATTAAGGCATTTCCATATTAATTCCCTTATGTCTTGAAGGGAATATCTGCAAAGGCATTTCAACTGGGAATGGCAAAATCAAGTCAGTATATATTGTTCCTGTGGAATTACCAATCACTCCTTGGGTTGCATCATTTTAATGAACCTTCCTCTCATTTTCCAATGTGTCCTTTTTCGAGAAAGCCATGCGCTATGTTTTCTGTAAATCTGGAGAAAAAGGCCCAGGAGTGGAGGGCCCATCCATTCCTGACAACGTAAATGGTCCATGAGTATTCAGCACCGATGGAAACTGTAAAAAAAAAGAGAATAGTAAAAAATTAATACCAGCACAAACATTTCTTTTTTTGGAGTGTCAAAATATTAGCAAAAGTCACCAAATACAGTAGAGTCTCGCTTATCCAACATAAATGGGCCGGCAGAATGTTGGATAAGAGAAAAAGTTGGATAATAAGGAGGGATTAAGGAAAAGCCTATTAAAAATCAAATTACATTATGATTTTACAAATTAAGCAGCAAAACATCATGTTTTACAACAAATCGACAGAAAAAACAGTTCAATACTTGGTAATGTTATGTAGTAATTACTGTATTTATGAATATAGCACCAAAACATCACAATGTATTGAAACAGCTGCAGATCTGGGCAGGAGACAGACTGCGTTGGATAATACAGAATGTTGGATGAGCAAAGACTGAATAAGCAAGACTCTATTGTACATCCAAAGATCTTGATCTGAATTCCAGGAAAGCACGGCAATGGCCAACTTCAAATGACCATTTTTACTATAAAGATCAGGACAAATTTGTTGTTTGATTCAGTACTCCTGATGTTAAAAGTGGCTTGCTGAACAGGACTACAAGTGAACATGTCTTGACCAAGGTTCTTTTTTATATAAAAGAGTATAATAAAATCATAGCACATGAGGGAATGTACAGGGTCATGTACATTAGAACCTTAAGTATCATGATTGATTGAACTTTTCCACATTTAAATATTGGTCACCGCCAACACCTGAGGCCCTACGGTCAGCGATGGGTCCAGGATCACCCCCAAACTGTGAACCTGTGTCTTCAGGGGGAGTGTAACCCCATCCAGCACAGGTTGCATCCCTATCGGAACTATCCTTCCTTTTCTATATGAATGAAAAAAATACTATAATGTTCATGTTTCATTGAGAGATTTCCATTAAAGAAACAAAGAAGGACTTTCAACTGTAATTGGAGAGAATCACAGAATTATATACCTAGAAGAGACCACAAAGGCCATCCAGTCTAATCCCCTGCCATTTAGGAGAGCCTTCAATAGTTCTCAAAAAACTTTATAGAAGAGCTAGGGAACAACAGTCTTGATTGTGAAGACTATGTGTAAACTATGGTTTGCAGAATAAAGAGTGCCACAGTTTCTGATACAGAAGTTACAGACTCTAGGGTGAGAAAAAAAATATTTGCATATAAAAATCAAAAAGCTGAACAGAGCTATTATGTTGGGTGATCTATCTTTGGTTCTCTAGTTGTTTTGGACTTTAACTTCCAGAATCCCTAACCATTAGCCAAGATGGCTAGGGCTTCTGTGAGCTGAAGTTCCAAAAAGCCTGGAAACCAGTATTTAAAAACCACTGATCCAAACTGTCATTTACTTCTATAGGTATAAAAGAGTTCATGTTTAAACAAGCCCTCGTGAACCAACATTAAATGTTTCTGATGGCTCTTTAACAGAACTTATCTGATATCCTTTTCGGAAACATACCTGGAAAAGGGTGTTAGCACCTTGTAATCTTGCCGGACTGAGAGGAGCAAATGGACTAAGGGTGCTCCAGAAATGGATACTGGAGAGCAAGGGGCTTGGAGTCAGCAAAATAGGTGTCTGGAAGATATACAAAATGTTACAAAACCAGTTATGAGTATATTTAATATCTGAAGCTCCAACTACCTTTAACGTAACTACGAATTGCTTGTTTAAGCACCTCTCAGATGAGATCAGAACACAAACAGGGAGTTCACAAAAGATTGGAAAGTGATTACATAGATTTGACAGAGCATTTGATTTATGTGTGCAAACCTAAAATGGGAGCCTGGTGGCATATAGAGAGATGTGAATAAATATACCCTCTTTCCCTGACTACTGTTCATGTAAAAGTCCAGAAAGAATGAAAATCTTTGGGCCCCATGCAGGGGGAAAGGGCAAAATATAAACTCAATCAACACATTACAAAAATTGGGAACTGACAGTGTTCTAGCTACCTATTTTCTCCTCAAACACCAACGAAGCAAACTGAAACAAACTGTACATAGTGGGCTATTAAATTTATCTTTCAATTAAGAATGATACTCTAAAAGAGATGATAATAAAAATGAAAAATATAACATATAGCAGGAAAGTATCATGTAAGCTTTTCATTTGCTCCCAGTAGATTCCCATTCTGAATCAAGAGTGGAAGAAACACTTGAGCAGCCATTCTGAAATATGCCTAACTACACCATCACAGTTAAATAAAAGTTGAAAGATTGCATGTTTCTACTTCTATTCCTTTATGGAGTGGAAATTCCCATAAACTGTATCAAATTATTATGTTGATAACAACATAAGATGAACTAGCATTCGTGCTCAAACTAGGACAGGCATGGGAAAACTTCAGCCCTCCAGGTATTTTGAACTTCACTTCCCAGAAATCCCAGCCAGCTTACCGTTAGAAATTGTGGGGGTGACATCCAAAACACCTGGAGGGCTGGAGTTTGCCCATGTCTGATCTAGGATCTGTACCTGAATTAAAACTGATGTTTCAGATCTTGTGTGAAGCAGGAATTGTGGCTATGTTTAACATAGCAGCAGACATGAAAATTAACTACAATCAGACCAGGGAGGAATACTCTGCACTCCACAAGAAGGGGAAGGGGAGATGTAGTTTCACAGCAACCTAGGTGACCCTATTACATGTTTGTTTTTGTTTGTTTTGTTTTGTTGTTTTGAGAGAGATTTATTCTGAGGTGATTTGCCAGTGTCTTACTCCTCTTAGTATGACTTTCCATGGTCTCACAGACTCCTAGTCCTGTGGGAGATCAGGTCCAGCATTCACAGTTAAATAACTAGGAACATTGGGCTGGATCAAGGATCTGCCTTACTTGAAGGAAAAGATCTATGCTCACTGAAAATGTCTCCATCTGATTTTAATCACTCAAGATTCAGGATCCCACCCAACTCCTTGTAACACTTCTGTGGTTACCATGAGGAAAACAGAACAGGGTCCACACCATCTTGCACATATCTAAATTTGGATGCTATGAATTCTGTTGGCCCTTAAGGGAACAAAGAAAAATCAGCTCAGAAAGCTTTGATATCTCTGTGATATTTACACCTCCTCCACCAAAAATTACAGCAAATGTAAGCAACTTGTACTATTTGTGTGTATACATACAGAGACACTAGGAAAATGTACTGAACAGATGGCACTGTGGCAATGTATGTGAACACAGTCAAATCAGGTGAGGTTTCCATTCAGTCTCTATTTCTGCTCCAAACTTTCAATCTTTTCCTCCCAGAAAAGCCATATATCACCAAAATGTTTTTCCAATTCCCCCAATGGGCTTGAAGGCTATTTTGACGTCTCCCTATGCCAATAACAATTTAGGTCCATAAGAGATGGGCCTAAATCAATCCCAAGATTCTTAATAAAAATAAGGCTTTCCCTGGGCCTAAAAAGCCCTTGAAAGATGATTCAGCAAAGTTAATCCCCATACCCACTATGAGATGCATTTAAGCATTTGCTTCCCCCACTACCACCCCCCCCCCAAAAAAAACACACACACACAAAACCAGTGAGGCTCTAAAAGTGACAAAAACTGTCTTGGGGTATGTCTGTGGGTTGCACTTTGTCTACCCCACTATACAATCATACAGAATTTTATTTAGAAACAGAAGACATGATTACCTGTGAAAAAAGTGCTGGTGTAAGAGAAGCAGTAGGGAGAGAAGGACTTAGTATTCCCAAAGGGCTTGGGTCACTGCCAGTAACGACAACAGTGGGGGCAATCTCCAGCCCTTTTGGCTTCCTAGTTCGACTAAGACGAAGTTCCTTTTCTACCATGAAGGAACTCTGCTCTTTAAACTCCAAGATTTGATCCTGAGATTCTTCCAGCTCCTGGCAAGTGTCAGACTCTGTGTCTATAATCAGATCGGGATTAGAATTTAAAGACGGCAAAGGAGATCTGGGAGGAACCTGGAGAGCAGGGGAAACGGAAGCTGAAGGAGGCGTAGGGGTGAAATTGGTGGTCAAACTTGGCAAAGATGTTGAGGTTTCAGTGGTCGCCATTTTTGGTGTTACTATAGACTCTACAACCTGGAGACTTTCATCAGAGCTAGAAGAGAGGGTAGGGACAGCTGATATAATAGATGTTGGTTGAGCAGTAGAGGCAAGGGGTGATGGTGAAGGCTTTTTGGAGCACATTGTCACAAATTTTATGACTGAAGGTGTAGACTCCTGAGGAATTTTCTTCTCTGCCACTTTCTCAATTGGATTCTCCATCTTGATTGGCTTAAAGAGTTTTACACAAGAGGAGGAATTAAGGGAGTTCAAAGTAAATGAAGAATATAAGCCTGAGTGGATATAGTCATTACGACTAGAGGATTTTGCGCAGGATTGAGGCTTCTCCTTCCCACAGTTCTCAGTTTCCTTGGTAGTGTTGTTAGCATCTACAATGCCTGTCTGTGCTTCAGCATCACCCTCAATCCTGCCAACTGCTAGGGGATCCATATTCAAAATTTCTGGATAGGACACAAACTTGTAAACAAACTTTTGACCACTCACTTTCTTAATGATATTCTGTGAAGATGAAAAAAAGAAAAGAAAAAAGCTATCAGCTACACCTCCCATTTGCATTTTTGTCAAAGAGATTTATTCATTTGGTTAGATCCAGATGAGATCTTATGAAAGCTACATTTCTGGACTACATCTCCTAGAATACCCAGATCAACATGACCACTGTTTCAATTTTCAGAGAAAGGAACACCTCCTAGTTCCTATTCAGATTTATTAGCACCAACTGAGAGTATTGCAAAAAGTAACCCATGACTGATTTCAACAGACCTAAGTGCTAGCTGATCCTGCATCGGAATGTATGCCTCCTTTCTCATTTGATAAGCTAAAGAGTGGCTTGCAAGGTGACTCAATGGTCTCCCATCTATCTTCTAACTAAGGCACCTCTCTTTGTTTCACTTAACTCATGGCATCTGGTGATTCCACAAAGGTGTATGTTTAAGAAAAGCATTGCCATTTCATTCCTGTCCAACCATCCAATCATCAAAAAGCCCATCCAGGATCAAGATGAATGAAGATGGCTCTGAAACTTTATTACCATTTTAAAAAATCTTCAACATAATGGCTATTCATTCAATTACCTCCACATTTTATGACCTTGATTCAAAAAGTACAGAAATTGAGGCTCACATTCTGAAGACAGGCAAAACACTTCTATCAGTGTGTGCACAGTGTTACAGCACCAAGGTTAAATATTCAAAAGGGAGAACATTTATGTAACATTTTGACGTAGCTGAAGAAAAGCAGCTGAACGCTTCCACAGAATGGCGTGAATAATAACCATTTCAATGCTTCTCAGCAATATTCTGCGGTACTTAATATCTTTTCTACTCACTAAGTCAATCTGTGCATTTTAAAGAAAATACGCAATGCTAGATAACCAAGCCAGTGTTCAAATCAGCATGCCCACTGGAGCTGACATTATCTCCTGGAGACTTATTTTCTTGTTTGTATACTCACACAAAAGCAGCTGCAAAACAAACCATTTGTTAAGAGCTCATGATAGATCAACATCTACTGTTCTAAGGCAGTACTGATTAAAATGTCTGGTGCTCCTCCAGTTTCCAAAAACATAGAAAATGAAGTAAAGAAGAAAGAACCAATTCCCCTACCATATACTATTCTGCAAGAAGCCAGACAAAGATATTTGGAATAATACAGAAGGATATAGAAGGCTACTCAGGTTCAAAAATCTAAAGCAGAATATGGCAGGGGGTTGGACTAGATGGCCCATGTGTTCTTTTCCAACTCTATCATTCTATGATTCTAATATTTCAGAGAGAGACAAAATGCAAGAGATTAATTTGTATTGTTAGGCTTGCATCTCCCTCAAGAAAGATGGGATTGCTTTGCTTGGCCCCACCTTTGTGATATATTTTGTGTTTAAGTCTGAGTAATAGCTGAACTAAACATTTTGGATGCATAGATACTCCTACAGCTAAAAAGGGAAATTTCAATTAATTGCCAGATACAGAGTTTACATACATGATGAATATTATGCATTGAAATTTTAAAACAGCCAAATCTAAATCACCGCTACAACCAAGGCCCCTCCTCTGCTCATTAAGCAAACGAAACAAGAGTCTGGGAATTAACTACTTGACCCTGTACATTCTGAAGGCAACCACAATCACTCATAGGGCCAGAACTACCATGAGGTAAAGTGAGGAGATCACCTTTGGCCCCAGATAAGAGGAAGAAGCAAAGGTGCTGAGGAAGAGGAGTATGTCTGCTATACAGACTTTAGCAAAGGAGGTTATCTTGTTGCCTGTACTAAAGAAAGTGTCAACTGACAGTCAGTTTTTGTATGTGGGGATGGGGAGTGGTACCATTATGGACAAAGCCTGCTCATTCAACTAAGGCAGGCCAACAACATTTTTTTATTTACATTCCACTTAACATCAATAAATTGTGTAGCAACAAAACCAATATTATACTGCACCCTCCTCCTCCCCAACTTGAAACAGAACAAGAAATCTCATTAAATGAAAGCTATAATTCAAGAGGGTTAAAAGACTCTTGGGAAAACAAAAGACTGAGTTACCTTCACATAATAATATCTGAGAGCACGACTGAGTTTATCGTAGTTCATACTAGGCTTGTTCTTACGGATCCCCCAAAGGCGAGCCACCTCCTCTGCCTGCAGAAGTTTGAACTCTCCGTCGTTGGAGGTCCAACAAATAATATCCTTGTTTTGAGAGTCCTGAAGGAGTTGCAAAAGGAACTGCCACAAGGTGATCGCGTTGTCCATAGCAGTGAGCTGAAATTCAAAGATTAGAGAGGAAAAGATCATCGCGGAAGCTATGCACAGCCTTCTGAGAACACATAGTAACATTTTCCCTACCTGGAGGTGGGTAGTAGGAAAGGTGTACTTGAGATAAGAAGGTTGGCCAGCCAATAGAAGTTAAACACAAGCAGCTTAGGAGGCACGTGCAATTCCTGACACTTTCTGTTTTCCTCATAGAAAAATCAGGTCAGTTTGAAGAAATACATTTTCTCCTTACATTTATCTGCAGAAACCTCGTGTGGGCTTAAACTATTGTCTCAAAAGAAACTGTGCCATTACAGTAGCCAAATAAAACTTCTCTTCCATTCAAAAGCAAAATAGCACACAGAAGTAAAAGCAATTCCATTGAAGTTACAATAGTAACAATGTTCTCTCTCTTAAGAAAAAAACAAAATGACCGTTATATGAAAGCGTGGGTTTTTCTGTCTGAGGACATCTCACCATTTAGATTTCAGCAATACATTGTGGGTTTTTGGATAAATGAATGACATCAACCAAATAAGAAAATGACAGGATCCAAGCCTATGGGACATTTGCTATATTATACATTATCAGTAAAGGTACATTTGCAAACAAAACACAAACTTTAAAGGAAAACTTGGGTAAAATTCGCTTTCTGATGAGATAACTTGCAGTTCCACATCTGAAAACATGTCTTGGTGACATTCATATACTGCGGTTTTAAGAAGGCATCTAAAATAATTAAAATAATTAATGTGTCAAATGGCACATTATTTTAAGTCTTCATTAAGATGTAAAGAGCGGGGATGGTTGAAAATATGTTTTAACCATTACATCAAAAAACAAACAAGAATCTACTTCAAAGAAGGGAGATGAGCAGCACATCAACTATGACAGTGGGCACACAGGCCAGCCTGACACCCTTTCCTCAACTGTCATGGAAGCTATAGTGAAAGGAAGTGTCAGCCTCCAAAATCTTGGTACATCTTAGTATCAATGCACACGGTCCCCAGTGACAACTCTTCTTCTTTTTTTTGTTAAAGTACCAACAAAAAACTGCTCTTAACCATGTAAAGGGGAATTCTAAAAACAAGAGGAAGTTTGTAGCTGTTTCTAAATTTATTCAGTGTCAAAACCTTGTAAGCATTCTTATCATTATTAGCCAAAATGCTGAATTTGTTTCTTGTCTCTTCCAGCCAGCAAAAAGCTAGAAACGTCCACTGTTTGAGAAAGATGTAGCCACAGCAAGTCCTCCTTTAATTGTCTTTTTATATAGACTATAATTACATGGAGATGTTCTTGAAAGATGTCTATGAACTACAAATGGAACAGAATGTAATGGACAGACCTGTGAGTCATGTGTTTTATAGACCATGTAGCACTGGTCCTGAATCGCTTCACTTCCAGTTCATTTCTAAGAAGAATTCAAGGTGCTAGTTCTTATTTATAAAGTTCTCAATTGGTTTATGGCAGGCATGGGCAACTCTAAAATGCCTGAATACCTGCTTTCCGCCCCAAAGACTCTTGAAAATAGGATGGATGGATGGATGGATGGATGGATGGATGGATGGATGGATGGAGATATATATATATATATATATATATATATATATATATATATATATAAACTGGAAGTGGGCACAACTCTAGTTTCAGTTTTAATATTGGGAGGCGAGGTCAGGAGCTTACAAGTCCATGTGACCACTTTAAGGGCCTCATCACACGAGCATTTATCCACTTCAATCCACTTTAAATACTGCGACTGCCTTCTGTAGAATTGTGGAGTTTGTAGTTTGGGGAGGGGCCTTTAAATTGCTCATCCGGAGAAGCCCTGAGCCTTCCTAAACTATAAACCGCAGAATTCTACATGAGGCAGTCACAGCATTTAAAGTGGATTAAAGTGGATAAACGCTCAAGTGTGATGAGGTCCTAAGAGTAAAAATTTTATTCAGATAAAAACAATTCATCAAGGAGATATCAGGGAGGGCAGCAGGCTAAAACGGTCCAAACTCTGCATGCCCTGGTTTAGGACCACAACAACTGAAGAACAGCTACCATCTCCTATATATATTTGTTGTTTTGTGCCTTCTAATGAGTTATGGCAATCCTAAAACATATAATGGATCTACCAGTGATAATCATAAATTTAAACATTCTGAATTATATCATGGGGTTTTCTGGGATTGAGTATGTGAATTCATGATTAACATGTGCAGTCCCATTATACATAGGTTGGCTCTTATTAATATCAGATGTGGCCTCCTTATTTATGACCTCCCTTTTCAAGGAATGTAGAATGATAATTTCTTTGCTGTATTTCCAAAAGACAGCAGCCAATACCTGTTTTCTCAAACTTTTAATGGCGTTTTTCAAATTTTTATTTTTTACTGAGCATGTTGTTAGTTCATGTAATAGTATACCAAATGTTTACATCATTTATGTACTTAACACAAGCAATCCAACAAATAACAAAGAAAGGAAACAAACATCAACAAACACAGAGAAAGGAGAGAGAGAAAATTAACAGTTAACATCAGGTTAGGATAGGCATGGGCAAACTTCGCCGCTAGGCTGTTAGGAATTGTGGAAGTTGAAGTCCAAAATATCTTGAGGGCCTAAGTTTGTCCATGCCTGGACTAGGATGATGGAATGTTTTGTGGTAAAAAAAAAAAACAACTTTATTTTGAACAAAGTCTGTGTTTGTTTATGGAAGTTTTTCTGTGGTCAATTGAAGAAGCTCTGTAGTGTAAAGTTTCCTTCCAGAATGCTTTCTAGGCAGGTGGAGGTTGATGCTGCTGTGAACGTTCGTTTACATATTCAAAAAAATACAAACAAATCTTCATGAAGCTGTTTCTCACTTGTCCATTATATCATTTAATTCTGTAGGAAAGTTATTAGACATGTTATTCTGGTGAAGAAGAATCTGGAAGTTATTTCAGATAGTTCTCCACCAGATATTCAGAATAAATATTCCTGATTTCCAACATTTGACTATCTCCATTCGTTCAACCACAATAAGAAAGCAATTTATTTTCTGTGCTTTCAATATCTATTGTTATTAACATACCTTGAAAGTAGAAAGAGGACAAAACAAAAATATACAGTTTGGTGTGTAGAAAAGGAAATCCAGAAATCTAATATACTGGCCACATATGTACTTGTATATATGAACAAACGGCTTTACATCCTCTCCAGCAATATGGTGGGGCAGTCTTAACCATTCTTGACAAATGTACTCTTGTAAGATACCATTTATGCACAATTTTAAAGACATTTTCTCTTGTGGTGGTTTCAGGTGCGATTCCAATCTGAATCTGTAATATCTGATGTCAGGTCAGAGTGCCATTTGATTGGGTAATGCATTTCCCTGTGCTTGATAAATTAGGGAATTCGTTGGTTTGTTTCTGTTGTGCCTTTTGCTAAGGGACCATCCATGATGGGAAGTTTCTCAAATGACAGCTGGTGGACATGTCGTTTCTCTTGTAATGGTGAGTTGTCATGAAAAGGCGATGATTCGGTTTAATTGGAAGCAAGTGGGGTTGGCAGTTTCTAGGGAACTTTTTAGGATATTGGCACAAAGGGCAATCTTGTGATGGTGCTCATGGTCAAGCCAGTTATGTCAGAGCTGTCCCAGGTTAGATTTGTTAGCGGTTCAACTGTTAGAGCAAAAATAGGAGGAGATAGTGGTATCCTGTGGATGAGATTTTCCATTCACATACAAAGTTAAAATTTGAGGATTAATTCCATTTAGGCAAGAACTATCCACAAAACCGACTGATATCTATGCAATACAATCCAGTGCAAAAGAGCTAGGATCCAAAATCTCCTTTTAACATATCAATAATTTTTCATTTTTTTTATTTTGCATTTCTTTTATTAATCTTTTTTTTCCTTCTATAGAGGCAGCCACCTATGCATATTGCAACAAAAACAACATAGTCCACAAAACCTCATGGTGTCGTTTGTGTGTCGGGGTTCCACAGGTTTGCCTTGTGAAATTTGAAGTAGGTAGGAATCATGATAAACACTCATAGTTTTTCTGCTTCTGGCAATCTATGTTTTGGATGCCTTCCAGGTATCTGCTATTAATCACTTTGATGTTAGCATATTCATTTGACAAATGAACAAAAGGAGGCAAGATAATCACGCTGTTGATGATGCAGAAGTATTAAATACCAGTAGTATGAAAAATGACTTGAAGACCAGAAGATAGCATTGAGGTACAAGATAAATCATTTATATGTTCTTCTGGAGTCCTCAAAGGAAAAACATATCAAGACTGAAAAAAGATACCCAAACTCACAATGAAGAAAAGAGGTCAACAGCTCAAGTCAATGTTTTAATACCTCAAAAAATAAATCAGTTGATTTTTTTTAATTAACATCCTTGAAAAATATTCTGTCCCTGACATCAATATATACTTGAAAAGTTAAAAAATAATGTTAAACACCTACAAAGAATTGGAGCAGAGGACTATGGTATCATGCTATCCCTCGATAAAAGAGTGGGTAATCTAGTGCGCTCCAGGAATGCGTTTGTGGTCCTTGATGCCTCCAGAATCTCCAGACTATCCTTTTTCTGTCTTAAAAGAAGGCAGAGAACAGCTTCTAGTGCAACAATTCGTCTTTTAAACTCACCCAAAGCCCCCTTTTTAGACTGCAAAAGAGGAAGCTAAACTGGAGAAGCGGGGCTAGCACTCCCAAACTTGTCCTCTAATCCCAGTTCCTACTTGGCACTCTTCACCCTGAAGGGACAGCACACAACAACATCTAACAGCCATTCCCAGAAAGCCCAGCCAGGGCTCTTTTACACAGCCCTATATCCCAGAATATCAAGGCAGAAAATCCCACGTTATCTGAGTGTGAACTCAGATAACCCAGCTCAAAGCAGATATTGTGGGATTTTCTGCCTTGATATTCTGGGATATAGGGCTATGTGGAAGGGACCCCAGTTTACCAGCTGTTAGGATTACTGGGAGTTGAAGGCCAAAACATCTGGGGACCCACAGGTTG